TTCCCCTCATTTTTCCCCATTTTCCCCGCTTTCCCGCCCTTTTCCCCTCAGCCAAGGCCTCCCGCCTCTCGCTGCCGCTGCCGCCTCTGGCCCTGCGGCCTCTCCCGCTGCGCTGGGGCGCGGCCGATGCGGCCCGGGGAGCCCCGGACGACCCCGACGAGGACGCGGAGGACGCGGAGGAGGCTCCGGAGCCCGAGGGGGCCTCCCCGGGGCCCGTCCCGCTCGTGGTTTCCACCTGGACCGGCCGCGGCCTCCGCGGCCTCCTGAAACCTCCGCGGCGCCCGCCGGAAGTGGGACTGAGCTCCAACCGGAAGCGCAAAGCGGTGTCGTTCTTCGATGACGTCACCGTGCACCTCTTCGATCAGGTGATTGGCCCCCCCCCGCGGGTTGATTGACGCGGCGGTTGTCCAATCACGGAGGGGGTGACGGACGCCATTTTGTTGCAGGAGACGCCGACCAACGAGTTGAGCGGCCAGAGCGCCCCCGAGGGGCCCGCGGGGGTGGCGCCCCCTGATGGCCTGGGTGGGTTCGGGGATTTTGGGGGAAAATTTGGGACTTTTGGGGAAAAAAATGGGAAATTTTGAGGGGAAAAAGGGAGGTTTGGAGGGAAAATGTGGGAATTTTGGCGAAAAAAATGGGGAATTTTAGGGGGTAGTTGGGAATTCGGGTAAATTCGGGAGGTTTGGGGAAAAAATTGGGAATTTTGGGAAAAATTTTGGGGAAAAATTGAGGAGGGTTTGGAGATTTGGGGGTGAAATTTTGGGGAAATTTGGGGGTTTTGAGGAGGAATTTGATGATTTTTGGGAAGAATTTGGGGGATTTTGGGAAGAATTTGGGGGAGAATTTTGGGAACTTTGGGATTTTGGGGGGAAATTTGAGAGGAAATTTGAGGAGAATTTTGGGGAGAAATTTGGGGGATTTTGGGGTCCCAAAAGGGAAATATGGGGATTTTTGGGTGAAATTTGAGGCAAAATTTGGGAATTTGGGGATTTTGAGGAGAAATTTGGGGATTTTTGGGAGAATTTGAGGTGAAATTTGGGGATTTTGGGGTCCAGAGAGGGAAATTTGGGGATTTTGGGCAGAAATTTGGGAATTTTGGGGGATTTTTGGGAGACATTTGAGGAGAAATTTGGGAAGTTGGGGATAAATTTTTGGAGAAATTGGGAAATTTGGGGGAAAAATTTGTGGGGGATTTTGGGGTCCCGAGAAGGAAATTTTGGGATTTTTGGGGTAAATTTGAGGCCAAATCTGTGAATTTTGGGATTTTCCTCCCGCAGCCGCCGTGGAGAACTGAGCCCCGGGGGTGGGGGAGGGGCGGGGCACAAGCCCCTCCCCCGAAGCCACGCCCCCTCAACAAACCCCTCCCCCCCTCTCGAGGCCCCGCCCCCTCCGGAATTGGGGGTGGGGGAGGGCCAATAAAAATTCCAGGGATCCTGGATTTTACTGGGAAGGGGCGGAGTCAGAGTGGTTTGTACTGGTTT